ACAAGGGAACGCATGGAAAGAAGTGCGCCTTGGGCGGCTACTATCAGGCGACGCACTAAAGAGTCGGGTTGAAGCCTCCAAACTGTAAGAATAGAAACAAAACGACCTATAGAATAGGATGCAGTAGAAAAGAGAATTTTTGCCGTGGGTGAAAAAGGCCAAATGAGTTCCTAGTGAAGACACTTTGAGAGTGGAATGTTTCTGTCGCCAACATTTGTGGCAGATGTACGGCGGGAATTTGAACGCGTAGCAGTCCTTCGGTTTTTCGATTACCAAAACAAACGAACTTTTGTTCTTTTCGTTCTTATCGTGAACGATGGGTCTCAAGCCAGTGATTTATGGGTGGGATGAAATCATATTTTCCGTGAAGGATTCCTCCAAAAAGTGACCGTGTTTATATAAAGGAAATGAAGGTCCCGCTCCTGGAGCATACCTTTGCCGCCCCTTCTATCATCTTCGTACTGATTCGAGCAGTACTTATTAGCAGAGCCTACTCGATCCTAAGGTCCTAAAATGGTCACTCTATATGAAATTGAAATTTGGTATCAGGCGGAAGATTTCAGGACTGATTCATGGAATTACGCCCCAAATCCAGACAAACAATGGTTGTTGCAACGGACCGGCAAGATGGAGCCCGTGCATGTGGCATTTACCGATTTACTGCACCGCCGTCGTATGCAAACTCTTGCAGAGCGTCGACGACGGAGTACATTTGGTATAGCACCATCTGATATGTCTTGGCACTTTGCCTGTGCGTCTCTAACCAATCCTACCTTTTGCAGATTTTCTCCACTCTTCGCGATCACAACTACTTGTCGTCAACATATGCTATTTACACATCAGATCATGGGTATCACTTGGGGCAGTTCGGTCTCATCAAAGGGAAAAATATGCCATATGAGTTCGACATTCGTGTGCCATTTTTCCTACGTGGACCAGGTATTTTGAAGAATGTCAGGTGAATTCTCCGTCTAATTCTCAAGTTTAAACTTAGGTCTCTGTTACTGTAATTGCTAAGAAATCACGACAGATTGCTAATGAATAGATATTGTTACAGTATCCGGGAACCCGTTTTGAACATCGACATAGCGCCGACCCTGATTTCTATAGCTGGTGGCAGCGTTCCAAGTCACATGGATGGTAGGAATCTAATGGATTTAGTGGCACTGAAGAAAGCCGAATTGTCAGGAAGTATGCATTTGCACTGTTTTTTTGGTTTACTTCCTTGATCGATATTTATACTTACACGTACCATTGTATTGTTATGCCGTCGTTAATAGGTATCTCTGCTTAATTCAATTGACTGAACCAGGTTGTTCGCACGGAACAATAGTGTTTAATTTTCTCGATACCAAACTGCCGGCAACATTCAACATGCTTTTAAAGGCTGCCTCAAATCGCTAACTAGCCCATAGCAGAATAAGGGCTCTTTATAGGGTAAGCCTGGGAGGGGAGAACTCACAGAGGACGAAAAACTGCTCAGTGCCCTGATTCGTCTTCCTCTGCCTAAGATGCTCTTTTCAACACAAAATGTAGATATTCCGCTGGGTTGTCGAAGCGTTACCTCTATGTACCCGTAGCTTGCGATAGGCCCTGTAATGTTTTTTTTTTAGGCAATAATAGCGCTGGAAACCTTTGAATGCTTTCAAATGTTGGCCAAGTTTGCAACAATGAATTGCTGAGGGCGTCTTGATGATACAAACATTTCAATCAGTTTTTTAATAAGACACTCCAAGAAAAGTTTGGAATTATCAATCATCAGTAGATCTCAAAAAGATGAAAGGCTCGTTTTGGCTTAAAGGGGTTCGGTCCAGGATCGGATTGGAACCTGCAACCAAATCGGCTGAAATGACGAACTCAGCTATGCAGTTATATCCCATCCCCGTTAAATGCCACATATCTCACCTCCGTCGTCGAACTGTTGCCAATTCTTCTTAAAGGCAAACTCCGGGATAAAACGTGGGACTTATCTGTTCAACTATGAAGTACTGGGTGCTAAGTGAACCAAAGCTGAAGAAAAAAGCAGGAAGTACTCTCAAAAAGTCCAAAATAAGAAATTTCTCTTCGTTAGTCGCTTAGAAGCCAGGGCTGGGAACGTGTCTGGACGTGTCACAAACAACTGTTGGCTTTATGCCAGCAACCGACACGGCTGCAAAAAGTCAGCAGAAAACTAATTGCTCCTAATTTCGCTATTTTTTTCTATTTGCATGTGCTTTTTTGTTTTTTCCTATCTCAAAAATTAACTATCACTAGAATGAAGACTAGGTTTCCCGATAATGGTCTTAACATAAGTTTTGATGTTGGTTTTCGCAATTGAAATCCGCTAAATATTCCTCTACGACCTTCCAAATAACAATTTAACATCTAGTGTTCCATATGGTTGTTTGGAAGATCGCACGAAACAGTGGGCGGGCTCAATGAGGTTGGGGCGGCGCCAATGCTCCAACCTAGGCTCCCAGCGCCTTAAACCTTGTCAAATCGCCGCACTTTGCCATTTTGTCTGCCCCTTGGCTATGCCGCATATTTACTGGAGAACCTAATTTCGGGCAAAATCGAGCAACAGTGCCTTAACCATGATTAGGTCTTCCGCACTCGTACGAGAACAAATCCTTTCACCTATACGACCCCAGAAACTCTCCCCAGCAGCCAAATACCTTTCTCCGTCCCATCTAATAAAGGATAATCGACGATTCATACATTGGGTTCACTCCTGTTCGATATTCAATTGAGGCGCTTACTTCTTTGATGTGGTATTTCATTTCAATTGTTTCAGAAAATAACGAAACAGGCCTTCCAGCTCTATGGAGAGACACCGTTCTGATCGAAAGAGGGTAGGCTTCTATGGATCATTAAAAAATCAGACTGCAGCTTTGGCGATACCACTGCTTCAAACAAGGCTCCATTCGGAAAATCGATAGCTATCTATAGTTTATATCGGATCCATTTTGCGATATCTCTCATATGCGTTAGTTGTATCCTGGTCTCGAATATTCACGAACCCGTTTCTACCCATTAGGGAAGCAGTTCCTGTAACCTGTGGTTGGGTTAAGGTACAGTCATCGGCGCATATGGGGGGCATCGTCCATTTCATTAGCAGCTACATAATAAAAAAGGTCTAGTAAGAGTCCTCTGTTTCGTATAATTCTCTTACGCCACTACCCAAGGAACATATCCGAACAAATTGCCGTCACGGTTTATGGCTTCCTAATTTTCTGGATGCGTATGTGGAAACCGACACCTCTAGTAGTCTTGAGAACCTTTAGGATTTGATAAGGCCCTCCTGCACGCTCCAAGGAATATATATGAGTTACTCGACGAACTTTGAACTGTAGCGTGGATTGATTTAAGGAAAATGCCAAAACTTCGAAAAATTCGAGATCGATGGTTGAATCAGAAAGAGCGGTACGGCAAAGAGGTCCGTCTGAACGAGGCGTGTAGTAAACCGGAATGGCAACGGCCGTGCAGTGGAATGCAAGTAAGTGGTGCAAGCTAAGATTTGTTAGAACTCGATGTTAACAATCGAGACATGTTTTAAGGGTAATTAGAACTGACTGAAAGGTCTGTGTCAACCGAGAGCAGGATCAAAACATTGCCTGGGGAAAACGTGGGGAGTAGCGCCACCCCTCCCAACGAAGGATAAGCCTCACCCTTTCCTATCGTGGTTTTTGTAGTGGTCTGGGTAGTCCTCTGTATCTCCAAAAAGCTCATCGACTGGTTCTGAGGAAGAACGATGGAAAGCATGCAATTAAGATGATGTGGATTGTGGTTCAGAATTTCATCCAAGAGATTTGACGTACTCTTTCCCTAACTCGTCTTCCAGAAGCCACTGCGCGGCTTTCACTGAAAACAAGTCTTTCCCAAAAATTACGAATACAACCTGAGGATTTTTTAGCAAAGGATCGCTCAGAGGTGACCCTGAAGGCACACCGCACGATGAGTTCGGGGATAAGTCCTTTCAGTGGGTGGGATTGTGAGGTCTGTCAATCCGAAGATGCCCGTTCTCTTTGCTCGGAAGGAGGCGGTGAGAATTATGAAGCTCTCTTAAGACCGCTTCAATTGCTTCCATTTTTCCTCATTCGCAGCATACGTGTCTATGCATCACCTGTTGTGCGCTATTGCCTATCCTCTTTTCTCGGCCCAATCTCTTATTGCCATAGCACAGTCGAACAAAAAATGAGTAGGGCACAACTTCGGCACTTTGACGGACCTTTTCACCTTTTCTTCTTTCTGATCCACTTCGCATCCGTGCTTTCATTTTTGTGTGCATGAATCATAACTGTTCAATCGAAAGGTGTGCCCTTAAGAAAAGCGAAAATGGCATGTTCAAACCGCATTCCCTTCATTCTTCTTCTTTCCATTAACTGAGTTTCGCAAAGTACTTCTTAAGTATGCAAAGACCTCTGATTCGTTATCTTTAGCAATGGTCCTGCTATCGTTCAAGTGATGATCGCTGGAGAATACTGAAATGTCGGGATAGAAAAAGTCGACACTGTGCTTGTGAGAAGCGGCAGAAAAGGTCTACCACAAGAAATGGTAAGGGGATACTCTACTATTCTTCTTATGTGTATATTACTGCAAATTTCATCAACTGAACTTACGTTAAGATGGTGAGGGATACGATGAGGATCTTGTGAATGAGTTCATTTTACACGTTCATGAATACAACATACTTCAAAGCAAGGAATGGTATCAGGGCACTTTTGACGCTTTGGTTGGTCTCTGTTTTCGATGAGTTCTTTTTGTCTTTCTGATCTAGCTGGTGTTTTTGAGGAGTTGTTAACATTCGTTTTTAAAGAGAGCACGTCGACGTCGTAGCCTTTGCACCTGCAAAAGTCCCAGTTTGCATCCACTGTGAGTGATTTCATCGTCTTGTTCAGCATTTCTACCATAGAAGTGCTTAAAATTTTAGCTTCTAAAATTTGAAACTATCAATAAAACACCTTCAATTAACGGGAGCGGGGGGGGGTGATGAAGTGCTGAGCTAGCCATGTTATGGACGGGCCGCGAATACAATTTCAATTCAAAAAACATGCAGGTCGGGGGTTCCCAGGAATTACTTACGAGCGACTGTTATATCCGACTTTCTAATCCTTGGCTGACAAGTTGTTAGGGAGTGAATCAGACTTACCAGGAAGGTCTTTCAGGGCGTGACGAGCTTTTTGAAAACGGTCTTTTGCATGATATAGGGGCAGATGCGGGAACCACAGAACCATGTTTAATTTTTCCTGAACGGCCCTCTGAATACCAGAAAAGGGGGTCCCTAGTTCGATTCCTCTTGGTGACAAATTTTTGCATTTCGAGTTGACGTTCCAAAATTCGCGCAAAATGGAGTTCTGATTGTTCTGGTTGGTTCTAACTCCATTTTGCGCGAATTTTGGCACGTCAACTCGAAATGCAAAAATTTGTTACCACGAGGAATCGAACTAGGGACCTCCTTTTCTGGTATTCAGAGGGCCGTTCAGGAAAAATGAACATGGTTCTGTGGTTCCCGCATCTGCCCCTATATCATGCAAAAGACCGTTTTCAAAAAGCTTGTCACGCCCTGAAAGACCTTCCTGGTTAGATGTGGTTGTTTGATTGACTTCAGTAAAATTTGATTCACTGGCCAGGACAAGGGCTTTCTACCACTATCCCACCTACGCTCAAAAACCTCCACTTCTCCAAAGTTACATGACCATATAAATCCTAATCACAAATCAAAAAGTGTTGGCCAGTAGCATCGCAAAGCAGCTCGGTTGGGCTTGAATTCCGTTGTTCACCGCATTAATACAAGCCTTCAAATGAAGAGGAAATGCGTGCACGTAGCACGCATTTGAGCCGCGTCAAAATAATTCCACGTTTTTTGTTACGTTCTTTTCAGGAAACCATACCTTTTTGAGGTTTAAGTTTGCACCCGCTTTCAAGTTTACCATGCGAAAAACCCAGCTGAATTGGGTGATAGATGCCTAGATAACAACTGCTCGAAGACAGTAAACTCGAAAAGTCCCTTTGCAGGATTTTTACGGGACATTTGAGTATGCACCTCATCAAGAAAAAATCAGTAATTTCTAGTTTTTGTTACGACTGAAAATATTAACCCTTTCGGACCTGAATTTTTCCGTGGGAAAATTTTTCTTCTAGCTATTGTTTATTACTTGTGAGCACATAGTATCATTATAGCGAAATTTGGAAGCTATTCGATCACAAACTAAGAAACTAGGAAGCTTTGAAAATTGGCCACCTTCTTAGTTTTTAGCTTATGTCGAAACAATTCCAAATTTCTTAGTTATGTCGAAAAAGTTTATGATCTTGCACAACATTATATCTAACGTTTTGATAAGAAATTGAATATATGTCAAGTATTTTAGAAATGATTGACACTTACCGGCAGGCTTGCTGAGACCAGCGCCGATTCATTGTTGCACTTGTACACAAATACTTGTAATGCTAACAGCAACACACAAAAAAATGGCAGGTTTAAAGCATAATTAGGAAGGGGAAGGTTGACTGAAGTAACCTCTACAGTGGGTAGTAGAAATATGCTGTTGCAGCGGTAATGCAGACATTTGAATTTGATGGTGGCAATTGCCACCGCCAGGGCCGAAAGGGTCAGAGTGGGAATATGCTCTTTGAAAATGGAGATCA